ATAGAATCCTTGATCTTCGGATCGCTGACCACTGGCAGGATCGAGTCCTGGGCTCAGGTGAGAACGGTGAGAACTTTTCAAGCATCATCTGTTGTAGGATGCAGATCAATAAGCAACAAATGAAATCAGATGTCCCCTAGGGCCCCTAGCATCTTGCTTTTATGCCAATTTTGGTTGATGGCTTTCCCCCATCGAAATCCCAACTCTCCGACTGGTACACCCTCAAAAACTACAAATTCAACCCACCCACCCCCCTCGAAGAGGGACAAAAAATCCAGAAGGGGAAAACAGCTTGGAAGTTGATGTTCCTCATGCATTCCAGAAATCTTCAGAATCAGCCATCCCATTAACCAACCATCTGGGGGTCATTTCACACCATGAATCACCACCATCACCACCACTACTACCACCACCACCATCACCATCACCATCACCATCAAGTCACCATCATATTCATGTTCATCATCATCATCATCATCATCATCATCGTCATCGTCATCCCAAATACTTGCATACCCAATAGTAAACCTTTATCAGGGATGGTTTGAAAAACAAAAAAACATTAGATACATTTCGGGATGCTAATACCACAACTTGCTATTCCCTGAAAATCAAATGGTTCATTCTACCATAGTCATTGGGGTTTTCTGGAGTTATCGCATTGGCTCTACCACGTTACCCTCGTGCAATTTTCATCGATCTCAATGGCCATGGCTTCCAGTTCGTAAACTCTTAGAGACTGGAGGCTACATCGAAAAATGAGCCATACTAAGCCATACATACATAGATTATATACGATATACATACATAAATATATATATATACACATACATGTACATATATGTACATATTGTATATATATATATACATACATACCTATATGTGTACAATTCTCAAACCGTTTACTGGCTACATCCACCCAGATCCACCTTCCCAACCTCCCAAGCTCCCAACCTCCGGCGCACCTCGTCGAGCTCTTCTTGGTACATGGGCCCTGGGGTCAAGCCATCGTCTGACATGGCCGGGTTGGCGATCTGCTTGGAGAACACCTCGAGCCGGGCGTCAAAATCACCGGGGCTCGCCGACGGTTTCAGCATCCAAAAGTCGGATCCGACGATCGAAAAATTCATGATTTAACTGTTTTAACTGATGTATACTCATGAAAAATCTAGGAATTCGATGGAACTGTGGATTCATTTGATGATATTTGTAGATGTAAATAGTGGAATCCAACAACGATGTGGATATAGGTTCCGGCATTGTATAGATATACCGATATACCAAACAGTATGATATGGCTTTGTCTGGAAAAATCACTGATTTCGGAGTTCCAAAGTCTAGAGTTTTAGAAGTCCCTAAATTGGATAGCCCCAGTGAGAAATTGAGAGTTTGAGTACAAACTGTGTCAGTCATACATATGCAAACAAAAACAGTCAGAAGATCTATGAATCTATGCCAGCATGATTGCACTGTTCATCACCGTTGCTACTCCCCGAGCACGATGGGCTCGTTGATCACCCGTGGTCTAAGTCTGTCAAGCAATGCGGTGAATCGTGTCAAAGTATTACCGGCTTGGTTTTCTGGGAATTTCTGCAGGAAACCGGCTGGGTTTTCTGCTGGAAAAATTACCCCCAAATGGAGGGCTTTTCCCGCAGATTTTCCCCCGGCACAGGAAAGTCCCGGACTCCCATCGCAAGCTGAGCTCAAAATTGGGTATGGATGGATCCCAAACTTGCCAAACATTGGTGAAAATGTGCTACATCATGTTATATCATAGCTTCTAAAATGATATAGATAAATTTCGAAGGCCTAAGGGTACTATTGGAGAACCATCCATCAAAATCTGAACATGATCGACTCGGTTCGTGGGCCCATACCTTCTCTTTGGTCAACTTCGTCCAGGGCGAAACTGTTCTCAACCCATGCTGGTTGGTGGTTGACCTACCCCTCTGAAAAATCATGGAGTGAAAGTCAGTTGGGATCATGACATTCCCAATACATGGAAAGTCATAAAATTCATGTTCCAAAGCACCAACCTGCCATGTCGAAGGCCATCCAAAAATCTTTGGATGCAACATGGATGCAACCCTACATCCCATGCCATAGCCGAGGCGCGTAGCTCACCTTGTAGCTCCGCTTCGAGGTTCCCACCTGTTCCGAGCGATCGATGATGGCCGGGCGCCACTCCGCCGACGACGCGTCGGAGGGATGCTGGAACTTGGCGTAGCCGAAGCACCTGGGGGACCCACGCGGTGGCTGATCCAAGTTTCTATCATCAAGGCGCTGGATATTAGGGAGCCCGGAAAAGGGGGATTGATCTCATCTGACTCTTGGTTTCAAGAATGGCCGTGATTTCTTCATGACTTGAGATCGAAGAATGGAGGCATCAACTCCGAGAAAACCCTGTCACAGTCACTGGGTTCAGTGGGGCAAAGCTCCGAGAAAACCCTCTCTTCTGCGACACATGTAGGCCTGAAAGCAATCCCAGCCAAAGTCTGAGACTCTGCCACATACCCTGAACAACTCATGGGAGATCCACAATAGCCATCCATCCCTGATAGCAAGTGGCTTATGAATCGGGCATGCCCGACTTGGGACAATTTAATTCATAGCCGTCATAGCCCCCCCGGGTATGATTGATGATCATGATACTTCCGGTTTGTTTATTGTCAGTTTATATCTCATGATATCCCCCTTGAATACACGTGTCAATCCATTTCAATCCCCGTTTTGATGGCATGATTGATATTGATATTGATCACGTCGAAAATCGGGCCGAGGTGCTTCGAAGGCGTGTTCAATTCCACCAGCCTTTCGTTCAACTTCTTCTGTTCTCCTCAGAGGGCGTTGGTAGATGGTCAAAGCTCTTCAGTTTGCGGACTAGAAGCCATGGCCCATCTAGTTCTATGATTTGCCTGGTAAAATGGTAAAATTGTGATTTTCCATAGCCTGCTGTTACATTGCCAGAGGGACTGTCCATGTGTTCTATGTCTGTATATTTATGTTCGGTGCGTTCAATCGAAAAAATACTGCTCATTGGGGATCATCCCAGTCCCAAGCACCAACAAGTATATCACAGTAATTGTATCATATCTACCCTCTGGTAATTTAACATAACTATGGAAAATCACCATAGAAATTTCGTGAATTTTCCCATGAATAGCATGGTGGATCTTTCCCATAGTTTTTTGTAAACGTTTACCAGGCCGGGTATTCATATCTATGATTATAGACCTACCCTCTGGTAATTTAACATAGCTATTGAAAATGGCCATAGAAATAGTGAGTTTTCCCATGAAAAATTGTGATTTTCCATTGCTATGTTAGTTTACCAGAGGGTACCAGGGAATGTGAAGTAATGTCACCAAGAACCAACGGGCAGTTGCATGGATGGTGGACCATCCAGGGTCAACTCGCCGGCCAAGGTAAAGAGCCCTACTTTTGCCCAGTTCTTTCATAGAAAAATATAGCCTCTGGTTGTTTGATAGGTAAACCATCTATAAATGGGTAAATAGCTGGTATACCCTATAACCATGGGAAAGATCCAGCATTTTGAAGTTCGAAAAACCATGGAAAGATCCACGATATTTAAGTTTGGTAAACCATCGATTTCTATGGGCCATTTCCCATGGCTATGTGACAATTTCCAGAGGGTAGAAAACACATACCCTGAAAGACCAGCGGCCAATTTTTTGGTCAAGGCTCGTTCGAACTGCCTCAGGCGGTTGTTCTTCAGCTTGTACTGCTCCGTGCTATCCACCACTCGTAGGCGCTGCGCCACGCTGCGCCCAAAGCTGTAGATGTTGGAGTAATGCATGAAGGTGCCTCGGCCACGGTGCAACAACAAGAAATGGGGGGCCCAAAACAGAGCCACGAAACTATCGCCGTTCTATGGTAGCTGAAGGGACCAAACATGTGACTCTGATTTACCAATATGTGTATATATATATATGTGTGTGTGTGTGTCTATATATATATATATACATAGAGAGAGAGAGAGAAAGAGAGGGAAAAAATATGCATGGTATAGGTATAATCCAATGTCCGAGCTATGTAGCCAGAAAAAATGCATATGCAATACAGTGTCCCAGAAAAAAGGTTGGTACCCTCTGGTGAACTAACATAGCAATGGAAAGATCCATCATTTTTCATGGGAAAATCCACTATTTCCATGGCCATTTTCCATTGCTATGTTAGTTCACCAGAGGGTAGGAACTTGAATTTCCGTGACCCTTCCACTATCCTTCACCAGGCCCTTTTTAAAAAAAAGATCGCAGCATTCCATTTCGGCCCCCATCCCGGTGACAAATCGCTTGGTCCAAGTTGCAAATGCTGTCCAGAGGTTGCCAGGAGGAAGGATCCTGGGAATCTGGGTAGATTAGCAACAATGACATACAATGGGTATATAATGGGGTATGCATAATATATATATATATATATGTGTGTGTGTGTGTGTCTGTATAACTGTATAACCAACAATTGAATCTGGGTACATTGCAAAAAAAAAATCGTTGGGGGTGAGATGAAACCAAAAGTTTGGGGATGTTTCGGGTGCATCTTCCCTTAATCACGTCATTGTAAGGGGTCGCTATAGTTTACCCTTAGTTTCAATCTGCAAAAGAAAACATCCTCTATGGCAAGCTGAATCTGTATACCACAACCAAGCAGTGCTTACTCCAGCGCTAGCAGGATCCGTCCTGTTCTTCAATGCGATACAAGCGCTTGTACTCGTAGCTGTTCACGCCCACCTGTGGCGAACCATTGGGGGTAAGCATTCAGCTATACCAGGTTCAGTGTCTGGTCCCGGTTTCAATCATATTCCCCCAACCCAAAAAATAAGAAGTCACAACCAAAAAATAGTGGGTACTACCGTACTACCCATGAAAACTCGGGGGACTTAGAAACTGAGCAATCAACCTACTACCCATATTTCCATCCCCCTGCACAGTGTGCGCATCAATTTGGATGCACCATCTGAAATGGGAGCGAACAATCAGGGCTTCCATACCTGCATCGATGGCATAAAATCATCCACTACACTGCACCCAAGTTTGCACCAGTGAAAGGATTCTTCGTTATGAACACAAAAACCGGTGTAAAGGTGCAACAACTAACATGGAACCCCAAAGATTGGGTTCTCTCATGGCCATTTTAGGGTTCCACTTGGGGGTGCAGTTCCAGTTATACCTGGCGATATTTCACCCTAGTTGTGCGGCCCCGTATCCCAACTTATGGGGGTCAGAATCCCACGGTTATATATATAATATATAACAATATATATATATATGTATGAGTGTATATAATTATAATATATATATATATATAACTATATACATAAAGATCACCCCAGCTGCTGCCAGATTCACCATCCCATTCACCAACCATCTCACGCGGTCATGTTACATCATCCCAACCATCTGCGGATGGTTTTTGTTTCGGGATGGTTATGGCGGTGGACCCCACGTTAACTAATACCCTCTGGTAATTTAACGTAGCTATTGAAAATGGCCATTAATAGTTGATTTTCCCATTAAAAATGGTGATTTTCCATAGCTATGTTAGTTTACCAGAGGGTAATTATAGGTGGATCTAGAATGATTTCTAGTTATTTAACTAATGGGATTCTTATCATAACTGATGGGATATTGATTTCTATGGGGTTCAGATCCGATAGATATATCCCATAGGGGGGAGAAAAAAAAAAACATCAAATATCCCTATCCCATTGATCTGGGTAAATTATAATATGTTCAATCACCGTTACTAGATATGGATACAGGACGGGGCCCTCAGTTCGGTAGCCAAGTTGGTTTATAACTATAATAACAATAGTGTTGGTTTATAACTATAACATCCGCTGCACACATCACGCCCCAACCACCTCCCATCTAATTTTACACAAAGCTGCTGAGTCTGAGTCGAAATGCACGCTGGACTGTCTTAAGTCAATGCCCTGGGATATATCAAGTGTGGACTGAAGCTTGGTAGACAAATCCAAACAACACGTTTGACCCAGGGTAGCATTTCCAGATCATGCCATGCATCCCCGTCCCAAATTTGGGTGGGAATTAGGTTGTGGGAGAAATTTGTGACCGGGGGGTCTATGTTGCCATCTTGAGCGCAAAATGGCAGCCACCAATCGTGTGCTGCTTCATGTTACTTTCAACAATGAATTGTTTTTCACAACATCCGCTGCACACATCACGCCCCAACCACCTCCCATCTAATTTTACACAAAGCTGCTGAGTCTGAGTCGAAATGCACGCTGGACTGTCTTAAGTCAATGCCCTGGGATATATCAAGTGTGGACTGAAGCTTGGTAGACAAATCCAAACAACACGTTTGACCCAGGGTAGCATTTCCAGATCATGCCAATTGACTCAGCTCGAGCTATCAGAAGATGAAGACGAAGTGGAGGAATCTTCAGCATCTGTGACGGCTTTCACTCGATAGCACTTAGGACATTTCTTCCATACAGTGCCTAAAGTGTGTGGTTCTTGATCTGCTGAGTGGACGTGACTTTTGCCAGCCCATTTCCATCCGCATCTGGTGATCCAATTGTGTGTTTGCTCGTCCGTGGTCTTCTGGATGTGTACCATGGAGCTCATCATGTTGAGAACAAAACCAATTGCACCAGATCCATTGCCATCATCATGAGTTGGAGGCGGAACCACGGCATCCTCTGATGCCCTCAAGCGATTCTTGACTTCGTGGCACTCTTCGTTTCGTCTGACTTCACAGTCAGTCGCATCACTGAGCAGTTTTGCAGGTTTCATCTTTGCTTTAAGTGAGCAAAGAGGAGCCTCTGCTAGATAGCTAAGGACGGCTGATGATGACCACCTGCCGTGGAGTGAGATGGTCGTGCAATCGATTCCCATTCTTGCATACCAACGGGCACCTGTGATGCGGAACGTGTGTGCAGTGTACCTGGTGAGCGCTTCTTCGTTGATTGTGGCATCATACTGCTTGACCACCAATCTGATCAAGGCATTCACTTGTGTCTTTGTGAGTGCCTCACCCCTTGGATTGGGAAAAAGTGGCATGGCGTCGTTGTCCACACCAATCTGTTGCCCAAAGTTCCTCAAGCGCCCCAGGTAATGCAACATGTAGTGAGAGACACATGGAAGATCCAGGTCACACCAGCATTCAACAGTTCTTGTGACCCCTCTCGCTTCCTGATCTTTCTTCGTTGCAGGGAGTCGGAGTGAGCAGGCGTCACCATCCTCATGAACAGTGAACTCAAACTCCAAAGCCCCCGCCACTTCAATTTCACGGCACATAAACGTACATGCCACCAAAATGAGGGCAGTTGTATCAATGGGAAGATTCAAGTCCACCATGTTCTGAGGCCAACCCCAGGTCGCATCCACTGACTTCACAAGGTCGATGGGTTCTGAGCGGTTGGACACACCAAGGCCTCTGTTGACTGAACGAATGCAGTCTTTGAGATGCTTGTCCAATTGTTGGCTCCAAGGAAAGCCTAACCTGACATGTTGGCTCTTTGCCGCAAATGCATAGTTCTTGAAGCTGCTGTAGTTCCCTGCCCGAAACATGGCAGCGATTGCCCTGACGCTATTCGGCTGGAGTGGATAAACATCCAGGCAACCACAAAACCAGGCATTGTGGAACCTTTCCCAGGTACGGAGCAATGCTGCTTGTGGAGCTTGGGAAGTGGCAGCATAGATACCACGTTGCAGCTCTTCTATGGCCGCTCTCTGCGCTTCTGCGCTGGATGCCGCTGCAAGGGCTCTGGAGGAATCTGCGGTAGCCCCAATCCTGACTGAAGGTTGGTCATGACGTGTTCTGGTTCTTATACTCTCACCTCGGTTGATTGATCTCCCCACCGGTCCATAAGGCGTCAACCTCCTGGATGTGTGTCTTCGTGACGGTGATGGATTCACCACCATCCAGTCATTAAGCCATGTTCCATTGGCCCAAGTGTCCAGGTTTCCCCTGGGCGCAGCCATGACGGTCGAATTGCGTCTCCTGAACATGGTGTTGAGCCTAAATTAAAGCAAGGTCTACCAGTGAAGTCACAAGGGGTGAGGACCAAGGAAAAGGAAGAAAGACAAGAGACAGAGAAACCAACCTTGCACTCGACCGACAACTGACATGCAAGCAGTGCAATTTCCCTGCAATCACAATTCAGAGCCAAACCCTCAATCCCTTAGCAACACAACTCAACAACTCAATTTCAAGCATTGGTTGGCCGCCTTGTTGCTTTTGTGCGCATTGCTAATGTCTTAGACATGGCGGATTGAGTGATCTCCACCAAGATTTTTCTCGAGTGGATATCGTTTTCCTCGGAACGTTCCTGAGGATCAATGGAAAGGTGTCCGGGTCATATCCGGGCTGAAACATACGGCTCAAATTGTCGCACGTTACATTCGTGATCCCAGGAATATGTTCAACTATCTGTGGCCTATAACTTGACATGCCTACATCAAGTGCAGCTTCCCTGGCAAGAACAGAATTCTTGGGAGATTTGGTTTCAAGTTGTCCTAGAAGAAACAAAGCACCAACATTGTCGTTACGAATTGCCAGCTGTGCAGTCTTGTTCCGCCAAACCGGAGCCCACTCACGAAGTGCTACCAGTCCGCCCAGGCATTCCAAAAATTGCTGGGACGTTGATGAGCCTTTTTCGAGGTCAAAATACTCCTGTTCGAACGGTGTGGGTTGTCCGACAATGTACTCAAATGGAACCTGATCTTTATATAAAACTGCACCAAATCCCCAGGGTGATGAATCCCATGTAATTGTGATTCTTTGACCCTGGTGGAGATACTCACATATGTGCCAAACCCGTTTGGTGACCTTCACATCACTTTCCTGATCTAGGAATGCAAGTACCCACAACAGACCCGTCTTGATTTGACTGGTCCAAGTGCAATGTTGTGGAGTGCCAATGGGTTTGACTGAACACAAGGCAGCATAAAACTGTTTGATGAACGGCTTCCATACATGCAAGATGCTTGCAATGTTCATGCGCTTCCCAATGAAGCTTCTGAGGTCCTTGTCGGCCACGACGTTTCCTTTGAGAAACCGCAAAGCCAGCTGCTTGATCTCCTGCATCTTTTCACCAGGTATGTGCACTTCCACGCAGTCACTTGTAACATGCAATTCCATGCCGATCCACTTCAACTTATTTCCTAGACATGCCTTGTGATACGCGATTGGGAATCCAAGAAGTTCCCAATCTATGAGTAGACATGAAGTCAAGTCTCTGATCTCTTCCTGGGTGCCTTTGAAACATGCCCAGGGATCATCTACATATATTTCCAATCGATCATCCTGCCAGACTTTCTGACCTAAGTGGTTCCGAAGCAAAAGACTCTGCAACAGTCGTCCTGCTGTCGCCATGATCGCCGCAAACGTAAGTGGTGCAGTTCTGCTTCCTTGGGCAGCGCGATTGAAGACCAAATACTTGTTCTGAAATTTAGCGACGAAAAACTTCTGCTCTTCTGGGTTCAAGGGGATTAACCAAAACGCATCAACAATATCAGCAACCAGTTGGGTAACAACTTCACCAGGGCATGCAGTTGACATGAGTGCCAACGCGTCATACACAGCATCAGACATACGTGGCAACTCAGATTTGTACAATTTCTTGGTAGCCCTGGTGACATGTGACTGCTTTGCATCAAGAATGATGCGTGTCTTGGTGATTTCCTGACCCAACTCGTTCGTTTTGGTTTTGATAACACAACCTAGCTTTGACAGTATTGGTTTCTTGTTTCCAAGATACCTTACACAATCCTCCAGGGTGTCAAATGATGTGAGGAAACCTCGCTCGATATATCCTTGCAGCGCTTTTGCTGCTTCTTGGTTTTCCTCAACTCCCTGGTAGTTTTTAAAACTGTCAAAATCTGTCATCAAAGCATCACTGGAGACGAGTTCTGAATCATCTTCATCCACCCGTTCAAAAATGCCATCAAGGTCTGGGTGGATGACAATACCCCCAGGAGCCCTCCTTTCAAGCCATAGCGTCAAATGCTCGGCTGGGTCTTTCGCCGCGCGCAACCACAATCGAAGAAAATTCGCCTTGAGACATGTGTTGGATGGCGATTTGTTCACATCAGCACTCAATAATTCCGAACTGTCACAGTTTCTCAACAACATGTCGCTGACCTGCAACCGCAGATCATCAATCAGGGCAGATCCCGGAAAATGAGATGCTTCTGCGTGACCGATGGAATCCAGGTATTTGTTCCTGAACCCTGGATGATCATTACAAAATCTGTCAATCAGATTCCTAATCTGAACGCCCAGGAAAATGTGTTTGGGTGTAAGTGTGAACGACTTGTATGGATTTCGCAAACCCCCAACACACACAATGGACTCATTCGTAGGAAATTTTCGTCCTACTTTCATCCTGGGTGTTGGAAGATCTGAAAAATTTCTGACAGCATCATGCGGAACTTCACTGTGTTTTCTCTTGACCCCAGTCCGCTTGGTTACTGCAATCGCTGCGGCAATCGACCTGTTCAATTTACTTGGATAGTGTGCTCTGGCTTTTGTGAGGAATGGTCCAAACGGTTCACGTCTTCTCAACATGGTGCAATCCCAGTCTTTAATGGGTATCGCCATTTGTCTACCTTTTAAAGGTGGATGTGGTCCTTCAAAAGTTTTACCTGACCATGGTATTACCCAAGTCTGACTGGGATGATTACACTCTTTAGGCCACTCACTCAAGTCCAAGTTACCCAAAATCTCGGTCGCTTTTGAAAATTTTGCTCCAAAGCGGCACTGATGAAACTTCGTGAAACTTACATCTGAATACCTGGACAGCTGCTGAAACTTTTCAAGATTGAACATCGAAGGTTTGCCATCTCTCCTTGCAGGTTGTTCAACTCCCCAAGGCAGTGATCTATCAGCAAACCATTTCATAGCCTCAGCAGCTCTGTCTGCAAGAACATTTCCAGCTTTAACCTCATGCTTCTCGCACTCAGTCAACCAAGCATAGCCATTTAAATCTGGCAAGGTATGTCCTCTCAACTGACGGGGTCCTCCATCACTAGCAGCACCTTGTCTTGCTGCACTAAACGTGCCACATGGAGGACTAGCATATCCCGCGTCAAATTCATTGGCACAGATCCTCGCCAGCAAAGCGTCCCAGGTGTCAGAACACAGAAGGTCTGTGCTTGGCACATATTCAATGTCAACATTCTCACAGTTCCATCCAAGCTGTTTGATGTAATGCCCAATTGAATCCTCCCTCTGGGGTCCAGAGAAGAGATACAAAAGTTTGCGTGTCTTGGACATTGGGTCAGTCTGAATTCCTTGATTTTGACTGGTGATACCATCGCACTCATCGTGCTCTTCACTCTCGAATTCATCAAGCTCCTGGCCCACCTGTTGCATTCCAGATGGAGCTGAAGCCTGATCCATGCAGTTGGCAGGCACATCCCGTTGTCAGTAAGGCGCTGAGCCTTTTGGCTTGCCTTTGCCACGGCTCCGGCCTCGTCCACGTCCTCTTCCAGCATTCTTCAACCATGATGGCTGTGGTGTTTCCTGATGTGGGCATGCCGTCAAAGAATGTGTTCCTAAGCAACGAGAACACTGATGTGCACGATTCTGATGATTGCCGCACCAGGTTCCCTGAATCGTGTTGGTGCATTTTCCCTGGTTAAAGTCACTGCACAATGGATGCCCAGTTCTGTTTGACTTGTAAACACCGTCAACCAGATCATGCACTCGACCAGTACGATTTGCATTCCTGGGCCTGGTCGCTGCTGCAGTTGCTGTCAACGATGCTGACTTGTCCGGCTGTTGTGCAACTCTGGCATCATCATCCAAACCTGGCCTCACTCCTTTGGTGTCTGAAAGAATGATCATGGCAGGTTCGCTGAATTCATGTGCCCAGAACTTGTCATCATTCGCAACGCAATTGAGTGCATAGTTCCATGGTCTTGCTGGATCGAATGGAGTGGTGTTTCCTGCATTGAGTGCTTCTTGATGTTCTTGGAGAAGTTCAAGGCGCTTCCTGGGAAGATGTTCCAATCTGGCTCGAGTGTCTGCTTGGTATAACAAAGGCCACACCTTGGCTTCGCCATATCGAATGTGAAGCATCTCGATTCTGGACTTGTATGCTTGAAGTGCTCCAAGATCAATGGCGTCCAACATCACCATAGAGTTGGCCCACACGTCATGACACGATCTCCAGCTGTCCAGGTCGGGAGGTCCAAAGATCTCTGCCTGGGTCAATGCACCTGCCTTGTTCAGCACAAGTCCAGAAAATCGTATACGTTTCATGATCCTTGCTGCGTGTGGTTGAAAGATTGCATAGTCTGCATATGGACACTGTGACGCATCCAACAATGACTTCAATCCACTCAACTGCTCAATGCTCGGTTCTTGTTCTGGACGAGGTCTCTGGCCTTTTCCAAACAATGTCTCGTACCTAGCAAAGTACTTCAATTGCTCAACACTCGACACCAATTCGATTTCAGTCTCATCCAGTTGTGACAAGATTTGACTCATCTTGATCTTCCTGGTTGTGGCAGAAGCTGATGGTGAAGGTAGTGCAGGAAGGGCAGTCCCTGTCGCTGGTGGCTTGCCTTCTATGCCAAGCTTCAGACGTGCTATACGTGCGACATAGAGTGCTTGGCCGTTCTCCATCAACGTTGGTGGTCTTTCCACTGGTGGCTGACCAGCTACTGGAACTTCTGAAATCCTCCAACCTCTCACTGTGGCTGCAAAGTCATCCACTGAGATCAAAGCCAGTGATGTGATGGTGGTGGTGGTGTCAGCTCCAATGAGTGCAAAAAGGGAGCCTCTGGGTGTACCTTTATCGTTTGGATCTCCAGTGAGTCCTGCTTTTGTGGCTGCATCGTCGATCGTCTTGATTGCACTTAGCTCATCTTCGGTCAGTTCTGACATGATGCACAGTTACTGCTGGCCAGATGGCAAAATGATCACTTCCACCTGATTCACACACTGATGTGTCTTAGTGCACCACTTGAAGACCCAATGCAATGTGACAAACGATGAAATGACAGCCCAAATGAAAATGATATCGATGACAGGATGCCCCCCTTCAAGGTCCACCATGCGAAGCGGGCCAAGAAATTTGTGACCGGGGGGTCTATGTTGCCATCTTGAGCGCAAAATGGCAGCCACCAATCGTGTGCTGCTTCATGTTACTTTCAACAATGAATTGTTTTTCACAATAACAATAGTGTATGAAACGCAAATAACTAGATTATAAACCAGAAAACATCACTAGGGGGGCCCTTCTTGTATGGATATTAATAGTGAATCACCAGGAAAACCACTCGTAGTAAATCACCATTTATCCCCAATCCCCCATTAATATTACTAAACATTTATTCAATGGGAATTCCAGGATCCTAAAATGGAGGTACTGTACTATATAAGGCAATATTTTATGGGGATATTCCCTTAAATAGGCCTTACATAGGCCTTATATATGGTAGGTACCTCCAATTTAGGATCCTGAAATTCCCATTGATTTATTAGTCCTCAGATTATCAGCTTTGTAACTATGAAACACTTACCAAATGCCAAATCATGGGATTAGGAGATAAACATAGATAAGCCATCTACCAACTGAGTAACTGGTGCAGGATTTCTTCCACCATCACGTGATGGTATCACTGGTGTTCTTCACCCAGAAAATCATCACAGTGCCAGAAATAGCACATCATCAAGTTGTAACATGTTGTAACAGCATTTATGGAATGATAAACTAGTAAATAGATGGAATCTATGGATTATCTATGGAACAGATGGAATGATACACCTATAATCTATGGAATCTATGGAACACCATTTTTTTCCGCCTATTTGATTCCATAGATTCCATAGATTCCATAGCTGCCCCTGTATCGCTCCTGGCCTTGCCCTGCTGCGCTAGCTCGCGAAGCTTCACGGAGGGCACGAAGACCATGACGGAATGCCGGTGACCCCTGGGTCCACGGGATTTGTGTTCAGCGACATCCGTGGCAAAACCGGCCGAAAAATTGGATGCAAAATGGAAGATGTGGAGTTTTATGATCAGAAATGTGTGATTTATGGAGATAAATCTATGGTTTGCAGTTTGAACTGACAGAAATGGTTGGTTTGAGTGAATTGGTGTATTATATTGAATGACACAAAAACTGGATTGGATTAATTTAAACTGTATCCCATTAGATTCTGGTATGTTGTATTTTATTATGTTAGATGTTGCTTTACATTACATTATATTAATTACACTATATACATATATAATATTATATAATTATATAATTAATCATGAATCATATACACATGACAAGCAATTCTTCACCCAGCAAACCTCCTTCCCCGGCAAAAAACTCGCCATCGGTCGAGTGACACATCCTTCGCCGCGGCCTCTAGTTGCAACTTCCTCTTGCGATTTGTTTCAACAGCTGCCTCCGCCTAGGAAGGGCTGACAGGGCGGAAAGTTGGTGAGGTTTTGATGGCAGCCATGGCATGGTCTGAAAAGCTCCATCTAAGTTTTATATGGATTTATGTTGTTTTATGATGTTTTATGACCGGCTATAGCGCTTAAAGAAATGTCGGAAGTGCCGTAGCAAGTGAGGATTCCACTACATGCAGCTCGAAGATGCAGATATGCAGCGTGAACCAACAGCATGCTCTGTTAGGCCCCGGAAATGATTCGGGTGACAGGTGAATCATCCAATTCTTCGCCTTTTTTTGCAAAGTTCACTGTGCTTAGTGACTCTAACCTTCGGGCGCCAGTCAAATTCTCGCCCCTGGGCCTTGCATGCGGCTGCCAACTTGTCCTTGAACTGATGCATGTTGTCCCCCATGTAGATTTGCACGCTGTGCTGCGTGCCCGGTCCCGTAACATCCTGTGAAACTGTCACTGTCAAGCAAAAAGGTGCAAAAAGGATGCGATTTCGCAGGGTGATTTTCCAACATGTACTGCTGTACATTCGAGAAATTCAACAAAGAAGCCCAACCCAGAACGCATGTTTTTTTAATGTACCCATTTATAGTGGATTTACCCAGCTATAAAATGGTGGATCTTTCCATAGCAAAACGTTAGTTTACCAGAGGGTATTTTAATGTAAAAGTATGAAAATGCAAGTCAGTTGGGATTGTTATTCCCAATATATGGAAAAATAAAATTCTTGTTCCAAACCACCAACCAATACAGTAAATGTTACAATGGTCCAATCTCATCTTCCAGCGCCATCCCAGCGCGCCTTCGAACCGAAATACATTCGTAGCTCTTCCTTGTTGCCCAGCACCTTGGCCCAAACATTGAGAAAAACCATGGAAAAACCATATCTTGGGTTGAAAAAGATGGTGATGAACCCTAAAAATCACTTCATAATCAACATCAACAAATGGTTGTTTGGAGGGGCATTCGCAAACAAGAAAAAAACTTTGTGCATTTTGGATAGGAGGTCCGGGCACCGTTCGCAGCTTTGGGATGATTTCCCCTCTCCAATACTAAGAAACCGTAGAATGTCGAAGGGGTGTCAATCATTTCGTAGGGAACGGATTTGCATTGGGTTTCAAACTTACTGGTAGCCGATGGGTCTGTATATCGCATATGGATGCATATGGTATATTATATCATCCTCAGTTATATGTGATTGACCACCTATGAGGGATTGACTAACCACCATTAACTGCCATTTATGTCCACTGATGGAGTTTGGCGGTCGGAAGTCCTTGCAAAGAGCGCCTCAGAATGATATAGGTAGGTTGGTTTGTGCGTGTGTGTATATATATATAATTATATATATATAATTAATTATATATATGTGTGTGTGTATGTGTGTATGTATGTATACTATATATATATATAGCAACTCTAGATGCACCATAAACCCAATTACCTTAGTTATGAAACCTCCTTACCTATCGATTGGAGGGGCGCAGCTGCAGAGGGTTGGCAAAATGCAGAGGCTGCAGAGGTGCCATCCAACCATAGCAGGTTGGAGTATTTTGGGTGTCAATGATTTTGAGCCACAGCATGCCACAGAACTTCTGGATGCTTCTGGATCAATTGCATAGCACTACTGCCATGCTCCAATACAAAAAGAATTTGCGAAACCCAATAGAAAAGTGGGGCCACCCTGGGTTCATCTCATATGCCTTGAGCCCTTGATGCGTTGATGATGTTCCTTTTGAGTTCCTTCCCACAGCAGCCACTAATAACTGCCAGCAGTAGCACTGAGGCATAGTAGTCGTCGCGGTTTCTGGTGGCCTGTGCCGCGCTGACACACTTTCTTAGACGGGGTCGCACCAGGCCCCGCCCCAATTTTTGCAACAGATTTTTGATCCATATGTTCATAAGCATCATAAGCCTTAAGCTTTTTTGATCCCACATACCTAAAGTGGAGCTAGACAAAACAACTTTCAGAATCCTATAGTTTCATATTGGATCATATGGGGATGGGTCAAAACCCTGGCACCTAGTGAACCCTGAAATAGATGGTAAATGGATGTTCATCCCACTAAAAATGGTATTAATAGGTATTGACCCATACCCATATTGAATCTGCCTGCCATCGCAGGGGAACCTGTCTTGACTCACAACCAGCGCCTGCCGGGAGGTGAGTTCCAGGTGATAGGCTTGTTTGGTTCTTCGTTCGAAGGCACCCGTCCTGGCCGCAGGAGTTTTCAGGGAGCCTCCGGTCGATTCCAAAAAAAAATACCTCAACCTCCCCACAATCAATGGATTGGTTTAAGGGAAAATCTACAGGAAACCATGGTTTTTACCATAAAATATAGGGGTTTCCTGTAAATTCTATGACACAAACAAAAGAAAAACAGAACAGCGTTTGAAACTTTGAAACTCTTTGAGGTGGATTTGATATGTCTATCGTGTCTGGGCTATACGGTAAGAATTCTTGCCCATGGCTTAAGCACCGGTTGGTCAATGGAGGCTACCACTGAAGGTGGCCAAGAACTTGGGGGGTTGGAGTCCTGGAGTCTGCCTGGGGATGTGCATCCCAGGTAAGTGGTCAGGAACTATCAGTGGGATAATTATTCCATAGACAACTAGATCATAATCATGCTTGCATACCACTTAGCAACTGGAACTGCACATCCGAATGTGCAAAATACTATGAACTAACATAATTAGACCTCGTCAATCACGGGGTGGAAGACTGCCAAGAGGAATGTGTAATTCGCAGAGTCTACGGTCAGGGCCTTAACTTAACCATGTGCTACCTGACCAGAATTGACAAGGAAAACAAAGAACTGTACAACACTGAACCCCAAAAACAAGCTGATACAATTGCTGGTTGCAGGTTTCAGCCCCACAAATATGCTCGTCAATGATCACGAAAAATCTTACCGCCATTTTTGGGGCAGACTGACAGTGACATGTTCCCCCCTGGGGAAGCCCCGTCCTGAGCATGAACTCCTTCTCCTCGTTCCATTCGGGGTTCCTGGTGGCCGACTTCTTCGAGGTGGTCCAGTAACATTCGTGTCGTCCCAGTGCCGTCTGATGCCAGCCGTACTGGTCGAAGCCGGGAGGGATCTTGTCCTGCGGAATCGTCATGGCAGCAGGAGACAACATGAAGCCAGCATTTATAGATGGGTTTCTCCATGCTTCTCCCATGAACATGGTTAAAATAGGTTAAAATAGCTATGGGTCAATACCTATAGATACATTTTTAGTCTGATGAAAATCCATTTACCAGCTATTTTGATGTTCACCAGGGGTACAAGGTTTTGACCCATCCCCATATAAACAAAACATGATGGCTGGAGATGTCCCACTTGATGTTTCTTGGGGATGGCTTCTCCGGTGATGCCATGCTGGCGGATGTTCCATGGCCGCAAAACACAGCAGCTTCGCTGGAGAATTCGGGAGAGATCATGAGAATTATGGCATGGTTTAGGGCAAAGAATGGCCAAGTACGGCATTTTTCTTTCTTGGCAAATTTCATGAAGCAATGATTGAAAGAAGATTCAATCAACTAAAAAAGCTTGGGGATCATAATTTCCTCAGGATATATAAACATTCACTCCATTCTCTTTTTGAAACGTTGCAGACCGATTTTGTCAAAATTAAAAGGTAATTCGAACACATAGGATCTTTTCAATGGTACCTGAACCATTTCCTGGGCGCAGTGTTCTTCTTCCGGCCATTCCCGGGAAGGAAAAACACCCCCCTAGTGCCCCTTGAGGACCCCGCCATTCCGAGGTGACCCCCAAGCCCGCGACACTTAAGATCCCCAAAAATGAGAAAATGAGAAATCACCGCGTAAAAATGCACTGCGCCCCCCCCAATTTTTTACGAACCTTCAACTTGGTTTGGTTCTTTCAGGGATGGGGGGGGCTGGGCCTGAAAAGCCAGAGCTACGATCAAAACTACCATGGATTCATGTTTATCCCCGATATCGTAAGGACAAACATTCACTCCATTCTCTTTTTGAAACGTTGCAGACCGATTTTGTCAAAATTAAAAGGTAATTCGAACACATAGGATCTTTTCAATGGTACCTGAACCATTTCCTGGGCGCAGTGTTCTTCTTCCGGCCATTCCCGGGAAGGAAAAACACCCCCCTAGTGCCCCTTGAGGACCCCGCCATTCCGAGGTGACCCCCAAGCCCGCGACACTTAAGATCCCCAAAAATGAGAAAATGAGAAATCACCGCGCAAAAATGCACTGCGCCCCCCCCAATTTTTTACGAACCTTCAACTTGGTTTGGTTCTTTCCACGTCCCCCAGCCCTTCGACTGGAAGACGAATGCTCAAGCGATGGCAGGGATGATTGCCACATAGAAAAAATATGGTGAAACGGGTGCAGAAGTTTTCTAGGGATTTGAATATCAGAGAGCATGGCAAGGCCAGAATTTAAATAGATTTTGGCGGTCTTTATTGCTGTCCACCGACCAGCAAGCAAGACTCGATCCAAGGACCCACACTTAGTGAACAAGTAAGTGGCTCCACCCCGCCGTAAAGAATACGGTCGAAAGTGCCAAGAGTCTAACTTTAAACTAGTTACACATTCAGAAAACATGGCCCGCCACACATGTGGCTTTGAGGTCAGGAAATCATGGGGTTGCGCAGAGCGCTTCCAAGTCCAGAGCCATCTGAGTACGGATTTCTCAGTGAGCGTAATGCTCTCTGCCGCTCCATGGCGCTTGCCAGACTTCGTCAGGCCAAGGCTGATAACAGCTGGAGAGAAACTGCCTGTAATGTTGACTTGCCATGCCTGGATTCCCAACAACTCTCCGGTACGGAGAAGGCCATGAAATGCTACCAGTAAGCTCAGGCCAAACTCATAATGCTCGTGCATGACAGCCCAGCCAACCATAGCTGTCAAGACTGATTCACTGAGTGGAGGGGCCCGTTGCGGCACCTCATTTGCATTCCAAGTGCGAAGCAATCTCCAGCATCCTGGGAGACATCCTTTTAACTTGGGATCAGCGTCCTGCAATGCTGCTAAAACATTACTGGCCTCTGCTCTCCCTTCTCCCTCACTCCAGAGAAACTCAATGTAGTCGCTAACCAAGCCATCCATCGTATCTCTCTGCTTTGGGAGGGTAAGGCCCTCCCGTGCCAGATAATTGAAGAAGCTTTCCAGTGATCCTGCATAACGCTCCCTGGTTTTGGGCTGGACAGTTAAACTCTTTAGCGTACCTAATGTCTTTCGAACTCGTTTTCGCTCTTCTTTGGCCTGGTCCCCTGGACTCAGAGTTTTCTTTTTAACCATCGTTTCTTAATGCCCCAGCGGGATGGTTTATCCGCTGGGTTTTGCGAGGATTCAATGTAGCCCCACACGGGCTGGAGACCTGTAGCCAATAAGAGCGAGCCAATTCGCATTACGGTACGCCTTAGTTTCTTGGATGAAGACCTGCCCCTAGTGAGGCAGTGGAGCACTACTAAACTGTCCACCAAGTGCACGAAGCGGGTATCCTGTTGCTTCAATTGGGCGGCTCTCCACTTCAAGGTAGTCAAGCATGCCCGCGCTTCAAGCACATTGATGTGCTCGGGACTGCCTGTCCACTGCCACCCAGACACTATTCGCCATCTCCACAATGACCCTGGTATGCTCGCCCGAAGGCGATGATAACGCACTGGAATTTCTGTACCTGACTGGATCATGATGTCTTCGCCCTTCAGGGAGGTGAGGCCCGCCAACTTCTGTACCAGCACAGTGCTCAGAGGAAGAGTAGTTGTCGTGTGCCCAAAAGGAGGTCTTGTCAGCAAAGCTGGGAGGGAACCTCCCTTACCTGGAGTGAGGCGACCTACAAGCTCTGCTAAGGCAATCGGCTCTATCAGCCCCAATGGTGCCAACAATTGGCTGACAAGCCATGCCACCACAACCACATTCCAAGAATTTCCAAGCAAACTAAGCCGGCAATCTTCATGCTCCAAAGTACCCTGCTCTGCTTTACGCAGGCATTGGGAGGTGTAACCAATGGGAAAACCCAATATGGCCTCCCGTTCTCGCACGTTAGGAGGCCTAGCCTCCCCTCTGTGCCATATGCAGTTGGCATCCTTGTACTGGTACGGGGGAAACCTGTGTCGGTCTTGCCTCCACCTGTCAACTTCATGTGCCTGGCAGCTTTTAAGCCCCGCAGGTTTCCTCATCGGGACCGGAGAAGGCCTCGATGTTGTAAATGTTGGCAGCTTATCACCCATCATTGTGCCACCGGGCTCCAAGAACGCCGATGCTTCAACATGGGAGGACAGTTGCACCTCCCCTTGGACAGGCAACCGGCCATCTGAGCCCCAAACCAGTAGCGCACCTTCACTGTTGCGAAGCTCCCAGTCCACCCAGTAGAGTCTTGGTCTGTGGGCCAGCCCAATGCCAGCTGCGTCAATGAACCAGGGCTCCATGTCATAGGCCTCGTTCATTACCTGACAATCCTTGAAGTCCATAGAAGCTACATTCTCCGCCAGCGCCTTCACCTGGGCCCACGGAAAATGCTTCTTGCACAACGCCGTAATCCTGGGTACATGGGTGAAAAGGCAACTCCTCATATCCCGCAATGCCCCCTTACGGTCGGCATTCAAGCCTGATACTCCCTGGCAGGGAGGTCCAGCTCCCACCAGGACAAGCCCAGCATTACTGAATTTGAGGCTCCACTCCAGTACCATGGCGTCGTCCACCGATTGGACATCATCGACCACCAGAGCATCCGGGAAATTGGCTTCCACGACTCTGCGGGCCTTGTCATTGGATTCCACCGAGATGTGCCCGGCTACCGGCGCCTGCAAAACGTCAAGCGCCACCCGAAGGGCCGCTATCCCGTCAAACAGGCCGATGGGAAGAACTTGACAGAAGTCGTGTTGTTCAGGGATATCACCCCTAACCGAGCTGAGCGCCGCACACACCCCAATAGGGAGTAAGTCCATGCGACATGCAAAATCCCCCTCCTGTCATGGAGGCGTCGCTGGCAGTGACCACACTGTCGAAGCCCTGCCTAAAGTCCATCACTGCCAGGGGCACCAAGCCCAGGAACCGAACCAGTTCTGCCATCACCTCCCTCCGCAAGGGAAAACGCTGGCCCCGTGGAGCCCCTTCGAGGCTCACAATGGCCTGCCAGATCTGGTTTAAGGCCGCTAGCAGCGGACGCTTAAACATGGCAATGTAAACCAGGCCGCCCCCAATCACTTGGAGCTCCTTTTGACTGGCCTTCCCTAAACGGAGGGCTTCCAGCGTCAAGGCAACATACTTTGCCACCTTACTTGGCTTAGCTGACATGGTACCCAAATCCCCATCGATCCAAGCTCCTTGAACTTCCGCAGGCTGCACTGACTTCTTGGGGTGAGTTGGGAGGCCAGCCTTTTGATAGGCCTCCCGTAATGCCACTACATTGGCTGAAGGGGTCCCACTGACTAACTCATAGGTGCGCTTGTCAAGCTTCCGGAGCTCATCAAAGTTGTCTAAATAAACCCGAAAAAGTTCCCCTTTTTGACTAAAGGCCCTGTCACGCCGCAATTCACCCTCAGCCCCCACGGGCGGGTAAAGCGACCCCAGGCACTTCCGCACGACGTTACGGTGAATATGTTGTGCAATGGCCACACTATTTAAAAACCCCATAGGTAAAACCCGACTACACAATACCCACTCCTCAGAACGCTCCTCTACTGGTATCATCCTACTTGGGAGGACCTTTCCAAACCCCAAGTACTTGTACCAGGCCTCCGGGATCGCAAACAAGTAGAAGTAGCAGCGCAAGTCCTCAGAGGAAGTGGATAGGAGTTCCCCATCATCCAAATAAAGGGCAGCCATCTGGGTTACCATAGGCAAAGTACAAGTATCACCTTCAAGTGGTCGTGTCAGCTGGTTCAGTGGCTTGAGGTTCATGATCAAGCGACACAATTCAATGGGTCCCTGAAATTCCTCTTTGCTAACCGAGAATAAACCATTGACCAGCGGGGATAAACCAACATGATGTAGTTCCGATAGTTTCCGACGCACACAAATGCCCCGATCAAGAAGACCTCTTGCCAAGGATTCCCATGAATCATCATCCACAAAAACTCGGGGGGGCTTGCCAATAAGTTGGTCAGAAACAGGAAGAA